TTACTAGTAAGAATGCTCCTAGTAGCGATGCCAGGAGCCCCTAGTAGCGTCCTTGCTCCTAGTAGCGATGCCGGTTGCTCCTAGTAGCGTCCTCTTGTTCCAAGTAGCGAACCTTGCTCCATTTCAGCCCTGGAAGGTCTGGCGAGGCGTGCGTTTTCAATCCAGACGATCCAGAAGCCTGCAACTGTTCCAGTTCCAGGCAGGGCAGACTCAGGGCAGAGGTGACACCCGAAGCGCTATTTGGAAGGGTCACAAGCCGATTAAGCAACGAAGAAGATGCTTGTGCCATCTTGGGCTCCTTCAAAATCAGGTGCCCAAGCACCACTCTCTTTTGCTTCTGGACGCTACTAGGGGCTCCTGGCCTTACTACATCTTACTACTAGGAGCAAGGCTCGCTGTTAGGAACAAAGGGCATCGCTACTAGGAGCAAGAAAGCTACTAGGGGCTCCTGGCATCGCTACTAGGAGCAAGGACGCTACTAGGGAAGGTTCGGTAGTAGGTTGGAGGCCATTGCTTCTAGGGAGATCGAGGCTTCAGACAGGCACGCAAAGGCGCACGAAGAAGGCCTTGTGGCGCTGGTTTGCGTGCAGGATGAGATCCTGATGGTGCGAAACCAGACCTTGGAGCATTTCCGCTCCGGTGCAGAAAATCCTTGGCTGTTCAGATGTTCCTGTCTCATCCTGTTTCACCCTTTCGTTCCCGTTCCCCTAGATTGTCAGGAACCATGGCTTTAGGGCACCCCAATGGTGCCCTGCCATCGACGCTGTCTATCAGTGCAGATTTGCAGATTCCGTTTCACCAGTGTGACATATTCGTTGGGAGAAAGGGACATTTGCTCCTAGTAGCGTCCTTGCTCCTAGTAGTAAGGCCAGGAGCCCCGTTCGTAGCGTCCTTGCTGCCATTCAAGTGCCATGTAAGTCCGCTTTGTAGTCGTTCCTAGTAGCTTATTGTTTTTAATAGCTTCTTGATACTAGTAGTAAGGCACCTGTTACTACTAGCGTGGCACTTGTTCCTAGTAGCTTCTTGTTACTACTAGTAAGGCACCTGTTACTACTAGTAAGGCACTTGTTCCTAGTAGCTTATCAAGTCGCACAAGTTCGACTGAGGTTCGGGCGAACACCCGCGACCGTGCCAGTGGGTCGGACCATTTGTCAGAACGGCCTGAAAGACGCGAGGTCGGAGCTCTGTAGATGCAGACATGATGGAGATAAAACAGATGATGTCTTCAGAACTGATGTTCAACAATTTCTATTAGGGTTTAGACCATTGCTAGCAGGCTGGAGGCCATCGCTATTAGGTTGGAGGCCATCGCTACTAGTTAAGTTTCCCTAAAAATCTGGGAACCAAGTCATTAGTGCGAGCTATCCTGCGTCCTGTCGGTAGCTTACTTGCAGCTAGTAGCTACCTCTCCCGACCTCCGCGGCCTACCCGCCCCGCGGGCAAAAAAAAAATCCAATTAAAATAGAAACAATAAGCTTCTTGTTCCTACTAGTTTTGGCCCTTGCTCCTAGTAGCGATGCACTTGCTCCTAGTAGCGAACATTGTTTCTACTAGCTTCTTGTTCCTACTAGTAAGGCCCTTGCTCCTAGTAGCGATGCACTTGTTCCTAGTAGCTTATTGTTTCTATTTGAAAAAACAAAGTTGGTAAAGAGGCGCAAAAGAATTGGTAAAAGGATAAGAGGCCTTGTGACATTCCAGGCGCAAGGGAACTCTGCCTCGGTGCCTGCTTTGGCGCCTCCAGGCGAAAGAATTCGAAGCAATTCAGAATGCTCACATAGCGACAGCGACGGAATCAGGGTCACGAGTGTGTATTGTTCTTCCATTACTACTAGCGTGGCACTTGTTCCTAGTAGCTTCTTGTTACTACTAGTAAGGCACCTGTTACTACTAGCGTGGCACTTGTTTTTCCTCCATTTTCCGCATCCTCTCTGCGGCAGGACAATCTCTGGTCTTGGCCGTCCCTGAAGCAGGTGAGAGACTGAGGGACCGAAACCGCCAGACGCATCATTCGCTTCACCTGACAGGTGCCTTCTATGCGTAAAGAAAAACAACAAACACAAAGAAAACGAGTACTAGAGAGGATCTAAAGAAAATTCCAATGTCACTTTTGGAAGGATACTTACTAGAGAAGGTTGCAGCACCTGAGGTTATGGATCGGGTGTGAAGGAGGAACCATTCGACATGCCCCTTGGCCTCAAAGCTGATGTGCAGAAAGTTGAGCAGATCAAGATGAGCGATGGCCTCCAACCCAAGAGTGATGGCCTCCACCCTAGTAGCGGAGGATAAAGATGTTTGCAATAGGTCATGCTGAATGTGAAGTTTCTCTCCAAATCTAGGAACCAAATCTCTAAGGGCTAGAAGCTACTAGGGGCTCCTGGCATCGCTACTCTACTAGGAGCAAAGACGCTACTAGGGGCTCCTGGCCTTACTACTAGGAGCAATGTTCGCTACTAGGAACCAAAAAAGATAATGCGAGGGCTTCAATGAAGCTCCCCCACCGCCTTTAGGACATTGGGAAGCTTCCTTGAAGAATGCATCCCAGCATGTAGCTTCAGATCACTACATTCCTTACACCTTGTATGCTCTCCTACATACTAAAACTATACATTACTAGACATATTTACTAATATCTAATATCTTTACACATTTTTATATAGAAATATTTATCTCTCATGTACTAACATATATTATATGAACTCTTTTTGTGGTTTTCCCTTTTGCACTTCCAAAAATGTTCACACGACATGGATGTCACTTCCCCGGAAAGGCCTGGATCAATGGTCCCACTCCTCTTTCAAGGCGGGCAACATGATGGTTGAATTTAAGAGCGATGGCCTCCAACCTACTAGCGTCCTTGCTCCTAGTAGTAAGGCCAGGAGCCCCTAGTAGCGTC